GGACGCCGCGCTGGCTCAAGCGCGGCATCTCGGGTACGGGGACGCCGCGGGGACGCCGCGGTGACGCCGGGGGTGGGGACGCCGCAGGCGGGGTCACCGCGGGGGTCTCACCGCCGTCCCTCCCTCCCCTCTCTCCTCAGCTCTGCTGCTGGCCCAAGGTAGGAGCCTTCGGCCTCGGACGCGGCCCATGACCATGGATGTGCCATGACGTGTATGTCGCCGTGTCCCACGCCGTGTCCTCGTGCCGCGGCCTCATCGCGGCCCCGTGAGGTGTCCCCATCGGCGCCACGCCCGTCACCCGCCCGCGGCGTCCCCACGCCGTGTCACGTCCCCTTTGGTGTCCCTTTGGTGTCCCCATGTCCCCACGCCATGTCCCCACGTCCCCCATTGTGTCCCCACCACATCCCCGGTGATGTGGCCACCGTGTCCCCATGTCCCCATCGTGTCCCCACACCGTGTCCCCATGTCCCCATCGTGTCCCCACCATGTCCCCACGTGTCCCCAGTGATGCGGCGGGAGTGTCCCCATGTCCCCACTATGTCCCCACATGTTCCCACCATGTCCCCATTGTGTCCCCACTGTGTCCCCTACATCGTGTCCCCATGTGTTGTCCCCACCATGTCCCCACGTGTCCCAATTGTGTCCCCACGTGTCCCTACCATGTCCCCACGTGTCCCCACCGTGTCCCCATGTCCCCACGCGTCCCCACCATGTCCCCATGTCCCTACACCATGTCCCCACATGTCCCCACCATGTCCCCACATGTCCCCACCATGTCCCCACCATGTCCCCATGTCCCCACCGTGTCCCCACGTGTCCCCATGTCCCCACGTGTCCCCACCATGTCCCCATTGTGTCCCCACGTGTCCCAATTGTGTCCCCACATGTCCCCACCACGTCCCCACCATGTCCCCACCATGTCCCCATGTCCCTACACCATGTCCCCACGTGTCCCCACCATGTCCCCACCATGTCCCCACGTGTCCCCACCATGTCCCCACGTGTCCCCACGGTGTCCCCGCGGTGTCCCCGCGCAGGGGACGGTGACCGGCAGCTCTCGGCCGAGGAGGAGGAGGCGCGCCGCATCGCCGACATGGGCAAACCGGTGCTGGGCGACAACCGGCGCCTGGAGGTGGTCATCGAGGAGTCCTACGACTTCAAGGTGACCCTGGGGACACCCTGGGGACACCCTGGGGACACCGGGGGCAGGGAGGGGACGCGGCCTGACCCCGCCGTGTCCCCGCCGTCCCCAGAACACGGTGGACAAGCTGATGAAGAAAACCAACCTGGCCACCGTCATCGGCACGCACTCGTGGCGCGAGCAGTTCCTGGAGGCCATCACCGTCAGCGCAGGTGGCACGGCCGCCCCGAGGTGTCCCCAAGTGTCCCCAGGGTCCCCGAGGTGTCCCCAAGTGTCCCTGGCGGTGTCCTCAGGGTCCTCCCACCATCCCCAGCGCCCTCAGGGTCACCGTCACTGTGGGTGGCAGAAGGTCCCCAAGCTCTCCTTGGTGTCCCCAGTGTCCCCTCGGTGTCCCTAAGGTCCACTTGGGGTCTTCCCACCTTACCCAGTGTCCACAGTGTCCAACCTTTGGGTGCCACCTTGGTGCCGTCACCGTGGGGACCGCAATGCCACCACCTTGGGGACCCCAACCTCGATGCCACCACCTTGGGGACCCCAAACCGTGATGCCACCATCTTGGGGTCCCCAATGCCACCACCCTGGTGACCCAAACCCTGGTGGTGCCACCACCCTGGTGACCCCAAACCTTGATGCCACCACCCAGGTGACCCCAATGCCACCACCCTGGTGACCCCAACCTTGGTGATGCCACCTCCCTGGTGACCCCAAAACTGGTGCCACCACCCTGGTGACCCCAACCTTGGTGGTGCCACCTCCCTGGTGACCCCAAAACTGGTGCCACCACCCTGGTGACCCCAATGCCACCACCCTGGTGACCCCAACGCCGGTGCTGCCCCGCAGGTGACGAGGACGAGGACGACGAGGGCCGCGAGGAGCGGCTGCCGTCGTGCTTCGATTACGTCATGCACTTCCTGACGGTCTTCTGGAAGGTTCTGTTCGCCTGCGTGCCGCCCACGGCGCTGCTGGGGGGCTGGGCGGCCTTCGGCGTCTCCATCCTCCTCCTCGCGCTGCTCACCGCCCTCATCGGCGACCTGGCCGCGCACTTCGGCTGCACCCTCGGCCTCAAGGACTCGGTCAACGCCGTCGTCTTCGTGGCGCTCGGCACCTCCATCCCCGGTGAGGGACCTTGGGGACATCACTGGGACCTTGGGGACATCACAGGGACCTTGGGGACATCGTGGGGACATCACGGGGACCTTGGGGACCTTGGAAGGGGGGATGGGACAAGGGAAAGGACAAGGGACCCAAGGGCTGCATGACTTGGCCAAGGCCGTCGTCTTCGTCACCTTCGACATCCCCAACGTCCCCAACGTGTCCCCAATGCCCCCGATGTCCCCAGTGTCCCCAATGTCCTCCTGACCTCCCAATGTCCCCAACACCCCCAACATCCTCAGTGTCCCCAATGTTCTGAACATCTCCAATGTCCCCAATGTCCCCAATCCCCTCCATGTCCCCAATGTCCCCAATGTCCCCAACACCCCCGATGTCCCCAACACACCAATGTCCCCAGTATCTCCAATGTCCCTAATGCCACCAACGTCCCCAACGTCCCCAATGTCCCCAACACCTCCAACACCCCTGATGTCCCCAACGTCCCCAACACGCCAATGTCCCCAGTATCTCCAATGTCCCCAAATGCCACCAATTTCCCCAACGTCCCCAACACTCCCCTGATGTCCCCAACACCCCCGATCTCCCCAACAGCCCCGATGTCCCCAACACCCCCAACACCCCCAAGGTCCCCAACACCCCCAATGTCCCCAATGTCCCCAATGCCCCCAATGTCCCCAACACCCCCAATGTCCCCAACACCCCCAATGTCCCCAATGTCCCCAATGTCCCCAATGTCCCCAATGTCCCCAAATGCCACCAATGTCCCCAATGCCCCCAATGTCCCAAATGTCCCCAACGCCCCCAATGTCCCCAACACCCCCAACGCCCCCAACATCCCCAACACCCCCCAATGTCCCCAACCCCGCAGACACCTTCGCCAGCCGCGTGGCCGCGCTGCAGGACCCGTGCGCCGACGCCTCCATCGGCAACGTCACCGGCTCCAACGCCGTCAACGTCTTCCTGGGGCTGGGGCTGGCCTGGTCGGTGGCCGCCGTCTACTGGGCGGCGCAGGGCCGGGCGTTCCGCGTGCCGCCGGGCACCTTGGCCTTCCCCGTCACGCTCTTCACCATCTTCGCCTTCCTCGCCATCGGCGTGCTGCTCTGGCGGCGCCGCGCGCCCATCGGCGGCGAGCTGGGGGGGCCCCGCGCCCCCAAAATCCTGACGGCCGGGCTCTTCCTGCTGCTCTGGCTGCTCTACGTGGTGTTCGCCAGCCTGGAGGCCTACTGCCACATCCAGGGGTTCTAATGGGTGTACTGGGAGCACTGGGAGGGACTGGGAGCACTGGGAGGGACTGGGAGGGACTGGGATTGGTCTGGGATCAGACTGGGAGCCTACTGCCACATCCAGGGGTTCTGACTGGGCAAACTGGGAGGGACTGGGAGGGACTGGGAGCCTACTGCCACATCCAGGGCTTCTGACTGGGCAAACTGGGAGCACTGGGAGGGACTGGGAGGGACTGGGAGCCTACTGCCGCATCCAGGGGTTCTGACTGGGAGCACTGGGAGCACTGGGAGGGACTGGGAGGGACTGGGAGGGACTGGGAGCACTGGGAGGGACTGGGATCGGACTGGGAGCCTACTGCCGCATCCAGGGGTTCTGACTGGGAATACTGGGAGCACTGGGAGGGACTGGGAACAGCTCTTGGGGGTCACTGGGAGCACTGGGATTGCACTGGGAGCACTGGGAAGGACTGGGATCAGACTGGGAGCACTGGGAGGGACTGGGAGCACTGGGATCAGACTGGGAGCACTGGGATCGGACTGGGAGCACTGGGATCGGACTGGGACCAAGCTGGGATCAGACTGGGAGGGAACTGGGATGGAACTGGGAGCACTGGGATCAGACTGGGAGCACTGGGATCGGACTGGGAGGGAACTGGGATCGAACTGGGAGCACTGGGACCAAACTGGGATCAGACTGGGAGCACTGGGACGGCGACGCCTCCCCGGGGTCCCCCCTCGCCCCTCCCCCATCCCTTTGGGGTCCCCCCCCGCCCCTCCCCCACCCCAGGGACCCTTGGGCCGCCTCAGGGACCCCCCAGGACCCCCCAAAATCCTTCAGGGACCCCCAAAATCCACCCCGAGACCCCAAAATCCTTCAGGGACCCCAAATCCCCCCCAAGGGACCCCAAAATTCCTTCAGGGACCCCAAATCCCCCCAGGGACCCCCGCCCCTCCCCCCCCCGGGGTCGTTTCTTATCTCGCAGCGTTTTTTAAGCGGGGGAGGGGCGCGGTGGGGGAGGGGCGCGGTGGGGAGGGGGGGTGGGGGAGGGGCGCCCCCCGAAAAACCAAAAAAAAAAAATCAAAAAATAAAAAAAAAAAAAAACAAAATTAAAAATTAAAAAAAAAAAAAAAACACCAAAAAAAACCCCAAATTCGGCCCCGGCTGTGAGTGAGAACCAGGGGGCCCGTGACGTCACACGTCAACAGGTGACGTCATTCCCCAAACACTAGATTGAGTGACGTCACTCCTGTTGCCCCGCCCCCTTTCCTTCGGCCGCTTTCACGTCGCAAAGGAAGCGGCTGCCGCAAAGCGCGGCCGTTGCCATGGCGACCGGCCCGGAAGTGCCCAAAACCGCCCGGAGAGCCCCAAAATCGACTCGGCGACCCCAAAATGTGCCTGGGAGCCCCAAAATCAGCTCGGAGAGTCCCAGAATCAGCCCGAGGGACCCCAGACCCAACCTGGGGTCCCCAAAATCACCCTCGGGACCCCCAAAACGATCTTGTGGACCCCAAAATCAGCTCGACGACCCCAAAAAGACCTCAGGAACCCCAAAATCACTTGGGTGACCCCAAAACCGTCCTGGGAACCCCCAAAATCCGCGGGGCCCCTCAGGGGAGAGAACCGCCGTAAAGCGCCGCCGCGAAGCGCTCGCTGCCATGGTTACCGCCACGTCCCCATGGTAACACATACGCCCGGGTGGGCCGTAAAGCGCGACGCCGTAAAACGCGCTGGGTTTGGGCGGTGCGCTGCCGTTGCCGTGGCAACGCGGGTTAGGGTTAGTCTGGGCGGTGCCGTACGGCGCGGGGCGCGTTGCCGGGTGACAGCCGTAAAGCGCGCAGGGCGGCGCGGCAGTGTCGCGTTGCGCGCAGTCATGGCGGTGCCGAACGGGGCCGGGACCGGGACCGGGACCGGGACGGGCCCGGGGGGACCCGGGGGAGGCCTCAGGGCCGCGGCCGGGCTCTACGAGCAGCTCAAGGGCGAATGGGGCCGCAAGAGCCCCAACCTGGCCAAGTGCGGGGAGGCGCTGGGCAGGCTGAAGGTGAGGGGAGGGGAGCGGGGGGGTTTTGGGGGGTTGTGAGGGGGACTTTGGGGCTTTGAGGGGGATTTTGGGGGGTTCGGGAGAGTTTGTGAGACTTTGGGAAGGTTGGAGGGTTTTGGGGGAGGTTGAGGGGGATGTTGAGGGGATTTGGGGGAGTTTTCGGGGGTTTGAGGGGATTCCGGGGGGTTTTGGGGGGCTGAGGGGGTTTGGGAGGGATTTGAGGGGGATTTGGGAGATTTTGGGGAGGGCTGAGAGAGTTTGGGGGGGATTTGGGGGGGACTGAGGGAATTGGAGAGGTTTGAGGGGGGATGAAGGGGTTTTGGGGGGATTTTGGGGAATTTGGAGGCGGCCGAGGGGGTTTGGGGGGATTTGTGGGTTTTTGAGGGGATTTGGGGGCATGTGGGAGGGTTTTGGGGCTTTGAGGGGGATTTGGGGGGGTTTGGGGGGATTTTGGGGGTAGTGAGGGGGTTTGGAGGGGGTCTGGGGGGGCTGAAAGGGTTTGGGGAGGATTTGGGAGATTTTGGGGGGAAGCTGAGAGGGTTTTGGGGGGTTTGGGGGATTTGGAGGGAATTTGGGGGATTTTTAGGTGTTGAGGGGTGATTTGGAGGATTTTTTGGGGGGTTTGAGGGTGATTTTGGGGGATTTATGGGAATTTCGTGAGGGTTGAGGGGGATTTGGGAGATTTTGGGGTGGCTGGGAGGGGGGTTCCCGGATTTTGGGGATTTTTGGGGTGTCCCAACCCCCCCCCCCCCCCCCCCATTTGTGTCCTTTCCTGTCAACACCAATTAACCCCCAAGCCATTAATTAACTCTGAGCCATTAATTAACACCAAACCTTTAATGAAGGGGTTGGGTTGGGGCTGGGGGGGGGCACAGAGACCCCCCCAGGATCCCCCAAATTCCTCAGGGACCCCCCAAAACCCCCCCAGGTGGCTCTGCTGGACCTGAACTTCCTCCCCACCTCCGGCTCCGCCATGACCAAGCAGCAGCTGATCCTGGCCCGTGAGTACCCCAAAATCCCCCAAAAACACCCCCAAAAATCCTCCAAAAACACCCCAAAAATCCCCCCAAACACTCTGAAAACATCCCCTAAAATTCCCCCAAAACACCCCCAAAAATTCTCCAAAAACACCCCAAAAATCCCCCCAAACACTCTGAAAACATCCCCTAAAATTCCCCCAAAACACCCCCAAAAATCCTCCAAAAACACCCCAAAAATTCCTCTAAAACACCCTAAAAATCCCCCCAAAAATCCCCCCAGAAACACCCCAAAATCCCCTCAAAAATCTCCTTAAAGCACCCCAAAAATCCCCCCAAAATCACCTCAAAAATTCCCCAAAATCCTCTCATAAACCCCCCCAAAAACCTCCTCAAAAATTCCCCAAAATTCTCCCAAAAACACCTCAAACCCCCCCCAAAATTCCCAAAAAGTCCCCCAAAATCCCCCCCAGAATTCCCAAAAATTGGCCCTGACTTTCTGCAAGATTTTCCTCAAATCTGACCCCAAATTCAACCCAAAATCCTCAAAAACCAACCTAAAATACCCCAAATCTCATCCAAAATCCCTCAAATTCCACCCCAAATCCCCCAAATCCAACCTAAACATTCGCAAATCCATCCCAAATTCCTGAAATTCAGTCCAAAATTCCCCAAATCTGACTCAAAATTCCCCAAACCTGACCAAAAATCCCCCAAATTCTGCCCAAAATACCTCAAATCTGACCCAAATCCATCCCAAATCCCCCCTAACCTTTCCCAAATTCCAAATTCCCTTTTTTTGGTGTTTTTTCCCCATGTTTAGGGGATATTTTGGAGATTGGAGCCCAGTGGAGCATCCTGAGGAAGGACATTCCCATTTTTTCCCCATTTTTTTCCATTTTTTCTGTTTTTAGGGGATATTTTTTGGGTTTTTAGGGGATATTTTAGAGATTGGAGCCCAGTGGAGCATCCTGAGGAAGGACATTCCCATTTTTTCCCATTTTTATTTGATTTTTGCCCATTTTTAGGGGATATTTTGGAGATTGGAGCCCAGTGGAGCATCCTGAGGAAGGACATTCCCATTTTTTCCCAATTTTATTTGATTTTTGCCCATTTTTAGGGGATATTTTGGAGATTGGAGCCCAGTGGAGCATCCTGAGGAAGGACATTCCCTCCTTCGAGCGTTACATGGCCCAGCTCAAGTGCTACTACTTCGACTACAAGTGAGTCTGGGGGGATTTTGGGGGGATTTTGGGGGGCATGTGGGGTCTCTGGGGGATTTTGGGGGGTCTGGGGTAGGGTTGGGGGGGTTGGGGTGTTTTTTGGGGGGTTTGGGGTGATCTGAGGAGGCTTTTGGGGGAGATCTGGGGGAGTTTTGAGGGGTTCGGGGGGGTTTGGGTGTCTGGGTGGATCTGGGTTAGGGTTTGGGGGGCTCTGGGGGACTTTGGGGTGGTTTTGGGGGGCTTGGGGGGCTCTGGGTTAGGGTTTGGGGGGTTCTGGGGGGCTTTGGGGGCTCTGGGGGGCTTTGGGTTGGGGTTTGGGGGTCTTTGGGGTGGTTCTGGGGGGCTTGGGGGGCTCTGGGTTAGGGTTTGGGGGGCTCTGGGGTGGTTCTGGGGGGCTTGGGGGGCTCTGGGTTAGGATTTGGGGGGTTCTGGGGGGCTTTGGGGGCTCTGGGGGTCTCTGGGTTAGCGTTAGGGGGTCTCTTGGGGTGGTTCTTGAGGGCTTTGAGGGGCTCTGGGGGGTTTTGGGGGACTTTGGGAGCTCAGGTTTAGGGTTGGGGGACTTTGGGGGGTCTCTGAGGGGGTTTGGGAGCGCTCAGCACCTCCTGGAACGTTCCAGAACCCCCTCATAGAGGAGCTGGGGGGGATTTGGGGGTGCTCAGGATGGGTTTGGGATGCTCAGGTTGGATTTGGGGGTCTCAGGGTGGATTTGGGGGTCACTGTGGGGGCTCAGAACCCCTCAGAAGGCTCTAGAACCCCTCAGAACGTTCTGGAATCTCTCAGGGAGGAGCTGCCCGAGTCGGCGTCGCGGCACCAGCTGCTGGGGCTGAACCTGCTGTTCCTGCTGTCCCAGAACCGCGTGGCCGAGTTCCACACCGAGCTGGAGCGGCTCCCGGCGCCCGACATCCAGGGGAACCTCTTCATCCGGCACCCCGTGTCCCTGGAGCAGGTCTGGGGGATTTATGGGGGATTTGGGGTGATTTATGGGGTTTTTGGGATCAGGGGAACCTCTTCATCCGGCACCCCGTGTCCCTGGAGCAGGTCTGGGGGATTTATGGGGGATTTGGGGTGATTTATGGGGTTTTTGGGATCAGGGGAACCTCTTCATCCGGCACCCCGTGTCCCTGGAGCAGGTCTGGGGGGATTTATGGGGGATTTGGGGTGATTTATGGGGATTTGGGGTGATTTATGGGGGATTTGGGGTGATTTATGGGGGATTTGGGGGGATTTGGGATCGGGGGAACCTCTTCATCCGGCACCCCGTGTCCCTGGAGCAGGTCTGGGGGGATTTATGGGGGATTTGGGGTGATTTTGGGGTGATTTGGGGTGATTTATGGGGTTTTTAGGGTGTTTTATCCCGGTTTTTGTCCCCAGTACCTGATGGAGGGCAGCTACAACAAAGTGTTCCTGGCCAAGGGCAACATCCCAGCAGAGAGCTACACCTTCTTCATCGACATCCTGCTGGACACCATCAGGTCAGGCAGCCCAAAATCCCCCAAAATCACCCCAAAATCCATCCCAAATCACCCTGGAACCCCAAAACCCCAAATCCCCCCTGAAATACCCCCAAAACTGCCCTGAAACCACCCCAAACCCCTCACTGGGCAGAGCTGCACCTTCTTCATCGACATCCTGCTGGACACCAGCAGGTCTGCAACCCCAAAATCCCCCAAAATCACCTCAAAATCCCCTCTGACCCCCCAAACACCCCTCAAACCCCCAACTGTGCCCTCAAACCCCCCAAAATCCCCTCAGAACCTCCAAATCCCCTCAGAACCTCCAAATCCCCCTCAGGAACCCCCAAATCCCCTCAGAACCCCCAAATTTCCCCTCTCCCTTCCCAAATTTCCTATCAAGACTCCCCAAATCCCCCTCAGGACCCCAAAATTCTCCTCAGGACCCCCAAATTTCCCCTCAGAACCCCCCAAAATCCCTTCAGAACCACCAAAACCCCCACTGAAATCCCCCTAAATCCCCCAATTTCCCTCTCAAACCCTCCGATATTCCCCCAAACCCCTCAAAAATCCCCCAATTTTCTCCTCAACCCCCCTGATATTCCACCCAAACCCCCCAGTACGCGCCCAAACCCCCCAAAAATCCCCCAAAATCCCCCTGAGACCCCCCAAACCCTCCAGGGATGAGATCGCGGGCTGCATCAAGGCTTCAACCCCCCAAAAATCCCCTGATAACACCCCAAAAATCCCCCAAATCCCTCTGAGGCTCCCCCAAAATCCCCCCGAAACACCCCCAAATCCCCCCGAGACCCCCGAAATTGCCCTAAAATGCCCCAAAATTCCCCCCCAGGGACGAGATCGCGGGCTGCATCGAGGCCGCCTACGAGCGGATCCTGTTCCCCGAGGCGGCGCGGATCCTCTTCTTCAGCTCGCCCCGCAAGATGACCGACTACGCCAAAAAGGTACGGGGCGCCCCAAAATCGGTCAGAAACACCCCAAAAACGGTCAGGAACACCCCAAAATCGGTCAGAAACACCCCAAAATCAGTCAGGAACACCCCAAAATCGGTCAGAAACACCCCGAAATCGGTCAGAAACACCCCAAAATCGGTCAGAAACACCCCAAAATCAGTCAGGAACACCCCAAAATCGGTCAGAAACACCCCGAAATACCTCGAAAACAGTGTGAAACACCCCAAAATATCCCAAAAATGGCATGAAACACCCTGAAAATGGTGTGAATTGCCCCAGAATCACCCCGAAAACGGTCTGAAATTCCCTGAAATACCCAAAAATGCCCCAAAAAACGCCCTGAAACTGCCTGAAATACCTCGAAACCACCCCGAAATACAAACACCCTCAAACCTGAAATACCTCCAAACAACCTGAAAGCCCCCAAATATCCCCCTAAACCTTTCCCAAACCCCCCAAAATCCACACCAAACCCCCCAAAATCCCCTTTAAACCCCCCCAATATCCACCCAAACCCCCTTTAACTCCCTCCAATCCCCCCGAAATCTCCCCAACCCCCCCTCCAATACCCAAAAATCCCCCCAAAATGCCCCCAAATCCCCCAATACCCACCCCAAACCCCCCAATATCCCCCCAAAGCCCCCTCAAATCCCCAATACCCACCCCAAACCTTTCCCAAACCCCCCAAAATCCACCCCAAACCCCACAACCCCCCCCAATACCCACCCCAAACCTCCTTCAACGCCCTCCAACCTCCCCAAATCCCCTCTAAACCCCCTTTAACCCCTTCCAATCCCCCAAAATCCACCCTAAATCCCCTCCAAACCCCCCCATACCCACCCTAAACCCTCTTTAACCCACTCCAACCCCCTAAATCCCCCCCATATTTGCCCCAACCCTTTCAAATCCCCTCCAAACCCCCCAATATCCACCCCAAATCCCCTCCAATCCCCCTAAATCCCCCCAATACCCACCCCAAACCCCCCAATACCCACCCCAAACCCTTTTTTATCCCTTTTTTTCCCCTTTTATCCCCAGCGGGGCTGGGTGCTGGGTCCCTCCAACTATTACAGTTTTGGGGGGCGGCAGCAGAAAGCCGAGGACCCCCCGATCCCCTCGACGGAGTTGGCCACGCAGGTGATCGAGTACGCCCGGCAGCTGGAGATGATCGTCTGAAAAACACCAAATTCCTCCTTTGCCTCTTTAGTCCCTTTTTTTTTTTTTTGTGGGTTTTTTTTCCCGCCTTTTCCCTGCCTTTTTCTGTCCCTTTTTCTGTGTTTTTTGGCCGTTTTCCATGGTTTTTGGCCGTTACCAACGTTTAAAGTGGTTTTTTTCTTGTTTGTTTCTTTTTTCTTTTTGGATGGAACCCCATCCAAAACTGTTCAAAAGATTATTCTGGTGCCCACATTAGGACCCCACTCCAAAATCTCCCCAAATCCTGTTTGTTCTCCTTATTTCTCTTATTTTATTGCGTTTTTGGGGTTGAAATGGCTTTTTGGGGGCGGTTAAATGTTTAAAAGGAGTTTTGGTGGGTCTTGATGCTCTCTGAAACCCCCAAAATCCTCATTTATTCCCATTTTCTCTTCCAATTTGTTGCATTTTTGGGGGAGTCTCGATGCAGGAGCCCCAAACCCCCCTCAGACCACCCCAAATCCCCCTTTTAACGCCCATTTCCCCATTTTTGTGAGTTTAACGATTTCAAAGGTTTTTTGGGGGGGGTTTGAAGACCCCCCTCCCCCCCCGTCCCAGGCACCCCCTTTTTGGGCAGAACCCGGGGGGCTGAGCCCCTCCCTATAAATATGAACCCCAAGATGTTGTTCCAATAAAGTGCTGGAGCCGGAGGGAGGTCGTTTTGGGTCGGTTTGGGGCATTTTTGGGGCATTTTTGGGTAATATTGGGGCCGTTTCGTTCCTGGGGGGGCTTCGGGACCCCCGAATTCCCCTCACGACGAAGCCCCGCCCACTCTCTCCTGATTGGCTGAGAGCCCCCGCGCCTCGCGCTGATTGGTCGAGGCGCTCCCCCAGCAAAAAAAGGCGCGCAGATGTGACCGGCGCGTATGAAAGGGCGGAGATGATTGGGTGGCGAATGGCGGGAATGAGAGGAGAGCGGTGATTGGCTATACGCCCTCTTCTCCAACCAATGAGCGTGCGAGGGGGCGGGGTTGGGATGAGGCGTGGAGGGAGGGCGCCGCCGTGCGGACGGGAGGAGGAAGGCCCAGTGCTCCCAGTTAATCCCAGTTCCCCCCAGTGCCCTCCCAGTTCCCTCCCAGTTAACCTCAGTGCCCTCCCAGTAGCTCCCGCAGCAACTCTGAGGAGCCAGTAACGTCCCATACGCGCCGACCAATCCCAAGCGAAAACCTCAGCAAATCGGCCAATCAGAGCGCGCCGCTGAGGGCGTGGGCGTTGATGGACGTGCAGCTCAGCCAATGAATGAGCGGCATGCCCGGTGGGCGAGAGCAGAGGCCGGGGCTCCTCGACATGAGCCAATGGCGGCCGGGTGATGTTGAACGACGTCTTGTGGCGGCAATGGCGGGGGCACCGCGGCCGAAGGGTGCTGTGGGAAGAGGGAGGCGGGATCTGCGGCTTGGACAAGAAGAAGGGCGGGACCTCGCCCTGACAGGCAGCCGATCCTCCAATCAGCGCGGTGGGCGGGCGGACCGTTGCGCGCGGCGACCAATGGTGTTCTCAGGAAGGCGCTGATGGACAGCTCAGCGGACCAATAGACGCGTGGTGGCCGAGCGAATCACAACGGCGCGCGGCGTGGCGGGTGTGGCGGGAACGGCCTCGGCCAATGGGATGCCCGGATCGCCTTGATTGACGCGTGGGCGGGCCAATGGGGGCGTGTCGTGGGCGGGCCGGAGGAGCGGGGCGCCATGTCGAGGCGGCGGTGGCGAGGGCCTCAGGGCGCCGAGAGTGGCGGGCGCGGAGCCGACATGGGGAAGATGGCGACGGGCGGCGGCGGCGGCGGCTCGGGCCGATATTACGGTGGCGGTGGCGGTGGTGAGGGCGGCAGAGCCCCTAAACGCCTGAAAACCGAGAGCGCCGAGGCGCCGCCTCACGGGCCCGGTGGGCCGGGGGGCGCGGGCGGCGGAGCCGGAGCGGGAGGAGCGGTGAGAGCGGGGAAGGGTTTGGTGTGGGGAGCGGGGGTGGAACAGCGCCTTGTGGGGGTAAAAGAGCTGCTGTGAGGGGGCAGGAGGGCTGAGGGGTAAAAGAGGTTCTGTGAGGGGGTAAAAGTGGCGGGAAGGGCTGAGGGGGTGTAGGAAACTCATGAGAGATAAAAAGGGGAAAGAGGAGTTTGTGGGGGGAAAGAAAGAGATTTGTGTGAGGGGGGAGAAATTTGTGTGAGGGGAAAGACAGATTTGTGTGAGGGGGGGAAAAATTTGTGTGAGGGGGGAAAGAAAAGAGATTTGTGTGAGGGGAAAAATGTGGGGAGGGGAGTTCTGAGGGGATAAATATGGCAGGAAGGGGTGAGGGGGGGAAAAGATCCCATCTGAGAGGTAAATAAATATTGGGTATAAATAAATAAGTAATAAGATAAAAAATGTTTTCTGAAGGAACAAATATTGGGGAGTAAGTACAGAAAGAGAGGAAGTTTTTTTGGGGTAAATACTGAGTGAGGGTAAAAGATTTTTTCTGAGGGAGAAAATACTGAGGGGGGTAAAAGGTTCCACTTGAGGGAGGTAAATATTGAGTTTGGGCAAAAATTGTGGTTTTTTGAGGGGTTAAATATTGGGGGATTAACAGTGAGGGAGAATAAAAAGTCTCTGAGGGGATAAATATTGGGGAAAAATGCTGAGGGAAAGGATCATTGCTGAGGGAACAAATATTGGGGGTAAACAGTGAGGGAGAGCAAATAGTTTGGGTGTAAAATGCTCATTTTTAGGGAAGTTAAAGTTTAAGGGGTGCAGGGGTCCCATTTTTACCTTGGCCTGACCCCAAAACTGCGGGGTCGGGGAGTGTCCCCAAATCTTCAGTGTCCCCAAACCCTCAGTGTCCCCAAACCCACTGGGGGTGTCCCCAAAGCCTCAGGGATGTCCCCAGACCCCACAGGGATGTCCCTAAACCCTCAGGGATGTCCCCAAACCCACTGGGGGTGTCCCCAGACCCCACAGGGATGTCCCCAGATCCAATGGGGAAGTCCCAAACCCAGCAGGAGATGTCCCCAGATCCAGCAGGGCTGTCCCCAAACCCACTGGGAGTGTCCCCAAGCCCTCAGGGATGTCCCCAAACCCCACAGGGATGTCTCTAAATCCTCAGGGATGTCCCCAAATCCAATGGGGAAGTCCCAAACCCTCAGGGATGTCCCCATACCCACTGGGGGTGTCCCTAAACCCCACAGGGATGTCCCCAAACCCTCAGGGATGTCCCCAAATCCAGCAGGGATGTCCCCAAGCCCTCAGGGCTGTCCCCAAATCCAATGGGGAAGTCCCCAACCCAGCAGGGGATGTCCCCAAACCCACTGGGGCTGTCCCCAAACCCTCAGGGATGTCCCCAAACCCAGCGGGGACGTCCCCAAGCCCTCAATGTCCCCAGGAGAACTACGAGGACCCCCACAAGACGCCGGCGTCGCCCGTGGTTCACATCCGCGGCCTCATCGACGGCATCGTGGAGGCCGACCTGGTGGAGGCGCTGCAGGAGTTCGGGCCCATCAGGTGGGGACACGGGGGTGGGGACGGTGTGGGGTTGGTGCCACCAAGGGGTGGTGACACCATGGAGCGATGACACCACGGGGTGATGCCACCATGGTGACCATGTGCCAACTGCGCGGTGGTGACACCACAGAGCGATGACACCATGGGGTGATGCCACCACGGGGTGATGCCACCACAGTGACCGTGTCCCCCTGTCCCAGCTACGTGGTGGTGATGCCGAAGAAGCGGCAGGCCCTGGTGGAGTTCGAGGACATCCTGGGCGCCTGCAACGCCGTCAACTACGCGGCCGACAACCAGATCTACTTCGCCGGCCACCCCGCCTTCGTCAACTACTCCACCAGCCAGAAGATCTCGCGGCCCGGCGACAGCGACGACGCGCGCGGCGTCAACAACGTGCTGCTCTTCACCATCCTCAACCCCATCTACTCCATCACCACGGTCAGCAGGGTTATACTGGGGTTTAGTGGGGTTTTATTGGGGGTTTATTGGGGTTTATTGGGATATACTGGGGTTTATTGGAGTCTTATTGGGGTTTTATTGGGATTTACTGGGGTTTACTGGGATTTACTGGGGTTTACTGGGGTTTGGGGTCACCAACCCATGCTGCTCTTCACCATCCTCAACCCCATCTACTCCATCACCACGGTCAGCAGGGTTATACTGGGGTTTAGTGGGGTTTTATTGGGGTTTTATTGGGATTTACTGGGGTTTATTGGGGTTTACTGGGGTTTACTGGGATTTACTGGGGTTTACTGGGGTTTAGTGGAGTCTTATTGGGGTTTATTGGGATTTACTGGGGTTCACTGGGGTTTGGGGTCGCCAACCCATGCTGCTCTTCACCATCCTCAACCCCATCTACTCCATCATCATGGTGGGTGGGGCTTTGGGGTGTCCTAGCTTGGTTTTGGGGGTCTTGGGATGTGGTTTTGGGGTCTCAGGTTGGATTTAGGGCTCCCAGGTGCGTTTTGGGGTCCGGGGTTGGGTTTTGGGCTCCTGGGCTGTATTTTTGGGCTCCCAGGTGGGTGTTTGGGCTCCCAGGTGAATGTTTTGGGGTCCCAGGTTGGATTTCGGGGTCCCGGGTTGGGATTTTGGGTTTTGGGGCGCCCCTGACCCCCCTGCTCCCCCCAGGACGTGCTCTACACCATCTGCAACCCCTGCGGGCCGGTGCAGCGCATCGTCATCTTCCGCAAGAACGGCGTGCAGGCCATGGTGGAATATCCCAGTGCCTGCAGGGGCTTTTTGGGGCCTTTTTGGGGCTTTTCGGGGTTTTGGGGCTGGGGGGGCTCCCCTAAATCCCAGCGCCCCGAATTCCCCTCGGGAACGGGGATCCAAGGGACTCGAGCTCCCCGGAACCCATCAGGTGGCCCCACCTGGCTCTTGAGATCCCAAAATTCCCCAAATCCTGTCGGGAATTCCCCAAATCACATCAGGGATTCCCAAAATCCTATCAGGAATTCCCCAGGTCCTGTCAGGAATTCCTCACATCCCGTCAGGGATTCCCCAAATCCCCCCAGTTCCATTGGGAATCCCCCAAATTCCCAAAATCCCGTTGAAATCCCCCAATCCCAGTCTCCTTGGAAATTCCCCCCAGTCCCAGAGCCCCTTGGGAATTCCCCAAATTTTCCAAACCCCGTTGAGAATTCCCCGAAATCTCCTTGGGAAATCCCCAAACCCCGTTGGGAATTCCTGATCCCGATCCCACTGGGGGTTCCCCAAATTCCCGGAATCCCGCTGGAATTCCTTGACGCGCGCACGTTCGACTCGGTGCAGAGCGCGCAGCGCGCCAAGGCCTCGCTCAACGGCGCCGACATCTACTCGGGCTGCTGCACCCTCAAGATCGAGTACGCCAAGGTGGGCGCACCTGGGGATACACCTGGGCACACCTGGGGAGGGGACGTGTGGGTGGGCACATCTGGGGATACACCTGGGCACACCTGGGGAGGGGACGTGTGGGTGGGCACATCTGGGGATACACCTGGGCACACCTGGGGAGGGGACGTGTGGGTGGGCACACCTGGGGATACATCTGGGCACACCTGGGGATGCACCTGGGACATGTGGGAACACCTGGGGATATACCTGGGCACATCTGGGGATACATGGGAACACCTGGGGATACATGGGAACATCTGGGATCACCTGGGGATACACCTGGGACATGTGGGAACACCTGGGGATATACCTGGGCAC